TTACTAAATATTTATATATTAAACTATATTTTTAGATAATGAAGAGTTTGTTTCCAAAACAACTTGTGCCCAAAAATGAAACAGTATAAATTAACAATACTTTAATATTCTTTAACAGAATTATAAAATATGTTATTGATTTACTAAAGCACTTGCTATTTTTAGCAGATAGCAAACCTCTATGTTATTTCCAAAATAACTTACTTCCATGTTTATTTCAAAATGCATCCTTCACATCAGTCAGGAAACCATTCTGAAGTTACACAGCAACAAGATTTTCCATTGTACAAAAATAAAGCCTGTATTCATTTTTAGCAACTTTTTAACTAAAAAATATGGAAATGTTAGTTTGTGATAATCCAGTAAAGAGGGGGGAAAAGAGATAACATATTATATGAAAGCAGTCAAAATTACAGTAATTGAATAAGGTTAAAGAAAGCCTCAAACCAAGATGTCATTCTTTAACCTTAAGTAAGTGGTAAGCTGTCCCAAGTAAGCTGCGATTGCACATTAGTGCAATCACAGCTTACTGAGAAGAAGGAAAATGGGCAGTATTGCAACCAAAAAATCTTAGTCAATGATGTAAATAAAATAAACTGTTGTTGGTTTGGGTCTGACTGCAACAGTAGGTGTAACTGGACATTATCCAGCATGTAAATTTTATGTAGACATTGCAGTGAATCGATTGACAACAATGAGAATTGTAATAAAGTGAAGATGATAAAGTCATTTATTCTTAGTTACATAAAGGTATTAATATTAAAAATTTGATGATGGGGCACAATGATGTTACTATTACTATTAAAAAGACCTTTATTTTTCATAAGTAGATTTCTCTAAATTAACTTTTCATGCATTTGATTATAATAACTTGTTTAAAAATCCCAATTTCTATTGTTACTATTCTAGCAAAATGTCTCAACTTCATCTGTTTATATAAAGGACTTATCTCCAGTTTAAAACTTTAAAAAAATCCACATCTAATAGAATTAAAATGTAAACATTTTAAAATAAATTCTATTAGGGGTGGATTATGTAAATTTCTAGTAAACTTTTTCAAGTAATCATTACACAGTAGAGCATTGTATATTTGAAATAATTACAGTTGGACAATTTCAGGTAACTGATCACATTTATTAGGATAAGAATAAAAAGCCTTCAAATAAACTAAAAAATATTAATTTTAATTCTAGTACAGAAAGATTAAGGCATAAAAATTTAATACACACAGATGATAGGATATTTTGAAAAAATAGTAATTTATTAAAAACAAGCACTAGTGCTTCAATGCAGTATACACTGTACTGATGAAACTTTGAATTCAAAGAAAAAGTACATTATAGTAAAATTGATGTGAAATAAAGTACAGTACTCACATAAAAATTATTTATTACAGATTTTTTTTTGAAAAAAGTTGCTTATAATTTGGCTTCGTTTTATTATTATTATTTTTAACTCTGCTAAATCTCTGGCTTGTTTGATTGCCATGAGAGTTGGAAAATTGCTTTAGATTGCATTTTTAAGCATTCAATGCTGTTTCTAATAGGGATTGTAAATTTACCGACTTTTTCATTTACCGGTAATTCGGTAAATGAAAATTAAAGTACCGGTTTACCGGTAAATTTTTTCTTGAAAAATAAAATTAAGGTGATAAAAAATATAAGTCATTATGATTTCCATTTCACGTTTTTATTTCAAAGATATCAAATATAAAAAATATAAAAATTAAAGTGTTATTCTAAACAAACTATAATAATAAATATAAAAATAAACAGAAATAAAATAATACAGAAAAATAAAAATACAACAGAAATAATATATTGTACCTAATACCATTTTATTGATTACCATTTTTTAAAATTAACTTCTCAAGAAACTTAAATTATTTATAGTCTTATCTCCTAATTTTGATCTAATTTTTGTACAAAATAATCCAGATCCCGAGAATACCCTTTCTGATTCAACACTTGTTGGACGAATGGTCATTAAATTAAAATTAAACAAAAACTATCTCACATAAAATTAATAATGAGATATATTGTTGCTTACACTTACCTGTTTTTTTGTTTTTTTTTTCAATGTCCCTTTAGCCCATTTAAATATCTATAAACACAATATTTTCTACATAGAAATTTCTAGTATGGATTTTTCATTTACCGAATTACCGGTAAATTTTTGAAATTTACCGGTAAGTTTACTGAATGTTTTTTTGTCAATTTATCGGTAAATCGGTAAACCGGTATACAATCCCTAGTTTCTAATGAATAAAATGCTTCGCTCTGTTCATGCACAATGAAGCATTTGATGCATTCGAACCCCTTGACTCATTAATCATGCTTTTATTGTACTGTAATAAATGAAATTTAACACTAGCATTAATAAGTACTTATAGCTCAATAGCGGGCCAACAGAAGATCACAAATAATTGTTATTATGTAACAACTGTATAATTTCTGGAATTAGTATTCTTTGAATTCAATAGTTAATTGTTTTTAGATAATTGATTTTCAGATAATTGACATTCTACTGTATTTGCTAATATTTCGCTTTTCATTTTAAAAATGACTAGAATGAAAGTTAAGTTTAATAAAACTTACAAATTAATATTTTCTCAGAAAATTAAAATTTACACAGCTTTTAAATATTAAAATATATTATAAAAATGCACATGTATAACCTGAAATCATTGTTGTTAGTAGTAATCAGATGATACAGCCAGATTCTTATTGAACTATAATATGCCTAATTAATTATTAAGATAGTAAGTAATTTGGACTACGATTAAATTTAACATCAGATGGTCAATTAAGTCACCATCTCATGTTAAATTTAATCATTAGCCATATCATTTATTAATGTATATCAGGTTTGGTTTTCTATATAATTACATTATTATTAGTATTGGCATTATCTAAAATTGCTAATACGCCATTATATTTTTGAATGACAGTTACCTATTAGTCGATATTATGATATTAAATTATTTAAATCATTTATTTATATTAATCGTTAGTTTGATATTGATCAAATGATATATTGATCATCTGTTAATGATGATTTTACGATATTATTATGAATTGTTTCTTAATGATCTTATGAAATTGTTTGAACAAAAGTTTTTTCATTTTCAACACAATCATTAATTCAAAAAACTTCGCACTGTTAGTTGGTTGTGGGTTTGTACCTCGCCAATGGGCTGGCCACATGGAATTTTCCTGGTTTTCTCCACATTAGTAACAACATAGATGTTACATGTACAGTTTTTTTAACTTCAGAAGGCTGTAGTTTTCCTATTGATCTGTTTTAAATATTAATTTTTTATGCTTGCATCATGAAAATTTAATCGATAATAGAAATTTTTGTAATAATCTGAATTCAAAGTAATGCATATCAGTGAATATTTCATTGTTAAAAATACATGTTTAAATGAATATTTGGATATTAATAAAATTTTATTATATTAAAGGTTCTTGCTATTAGAAGAGAAGATGCTTCCATTTGGGAAAGGAGGGCACCTCTTGCTCCTGCTCATGTTAAACAGTTAGTAAAAGAAGGTGTTAAAGTTCTTGTTCAACCTTCAAATAGGCGAGCATATCCAATGCAAGTAAGAATTATAAACCTTGAGTATATTTTAACATTATTATTATTGAAATTTTTGTATATTTTTTTTATTATTAGTAAATCAATTCATTTAATAACAACAGTTGAAATCATAATAAATTAGTCAGACTTCAAGATATTTTTATAAAAATTATTGTCATAAAGTATTAGTGTTTTCACATTTATTAAAAACTTTCCATGCAATGCAAAATCTAGTCTAATTTAAGTGTGGAAATATTTTTTGAAAAGAATCTTATTTCATTTACTACATAACATTTCATGCTGTCAATGATGGCCCTCTTTAGACTATAGTAAATGAGAAATGTAAATAATTACACTTAAAAAGAACCATTTACAACAGGGCTTCTTAAACTTTTTTTATTCACAACCCCATTTATGATTGTGATTTTTTTCGCAACCCAAAAAAAAAAAAATATATATATAAAATGAAGATATATACAAATTTGCAAAAACAATAATGGTGTACTACCACAGTTCACTCTTGTGTTACAATGGAACAGAGACAACTGAATACAGAGTGACAACACTACACTAGTTCACACTACAATCAGTGTTGCTGAATCGTTGTCTCGCTGCACCAGAAGTGACACAAAGCGTGCCATTTTCAAACTCTCACAAATTATTTTCAATATTTTGCATTAAAATCTCGCGACCCCAAATGGGGTCGCAACCCATAGTTTAAGAAGCCCTGATTTACAAAACACATACTGTATACTGTAGACATCATTAATTAAAATATAATTTAAAATTTGATAAACCAACGTCACTTAATCATTTTTCTAGATATTAACAACATACTTTCATCCACCTAACTTTTTCATGTGAGGTTGTCCTATCACATAATATTGACTTAAGGCAAAAATCATTTATGTTAAAATACATTAATATTTAAGAATATTTTTCCATTATTCATTCATATTTATACAATTTATATTTATTCTATTATTTATCTATATATACTGTTATGTGTACAATGTATAACATAATCATGCTATCAATATACAGTAGTCCTGCAAACTTGTTTTAATGTGGACTGAGATGATGAGTTTTATGGATGGAGTTCCTGTGTTAACAGTAAAATGAGAGCAACAAGATTGTGTTAAAATACAAATCAAATTTGATCATTATTTCATAGGTGGGAGCATGTTGCCAATCATAGTAGAATCCTGCTAAATTAACAAATTAACAGAGACATAGCAATGATACTAGTTTAAATAGTGGAATTTTCATAAAGGTGTTATACATGTGTGACTGAAGGGTCGGCACCTCTTTGGTGCCGTGTCAGGATGACACCACCGCGTCTCGGCGGACACGGAAACCGCATTATTTAGGTCACGCAAGTGGTCGCGTAACGGAGCAATCAGAGTCGAGATAGAAGGAGAGACAACACACTGGAAGTGACTTACTCAGAGACCTTTTTAACATAACAACTGTTTAATGGGTAATGATAAGCTATACATTCGGGCTGCTGTTAGATACATATCTATGATAGGGATTAGATTTTAGGATATTAATTACGTTTTGGGCTTTCCGATAAGAGAGAGAGTTTACATAAGTTATGCGTGTCAATAAATACCTTTTGTTTTTGCTGTCTTGATTGAGAGTCTCGAGCGTTCTGGGTTGTGGGTGAAGGAAAGAAAGTTCGGGATGTCAGTTCTTGTATCCGGTAGAGGAAGTATCCGTAAGAATGATAGAACGTAAAGTATTCGCAAAGGTGTTCGACGATGTTACGATGGGTTTCGATGATATTTTAGTAGGATATAACACGTAGAATAAAATGATATATTCACAGATATCCGAATATGGAGACACTTAGGACAAAAATACGAGTGACAACTTCTCTTTCGAAAGACGGGCGACAACTGCTCACTTTGTTGTTCTTGTCTAATGTTGAACTGTTAAGATCGTGATACTAGGTCGAAAGGTGATGAGAAAGCATCGTTATTAAGTCTGAGAACTTAGCAGATGTTTAGCTCCCAGATGTAAAAGTTGACAGTTATTAAACGAAAGTATAGCTACAATGTGAAATGATATAAACACATCCGAATTCGGATCCTCACATCACCTTGGCCTTTCTAAAATCGTGCTTGTTCTCAATGGGCAAGTTCGATTTTGAATTAAAAGGTTATAATTGATTTACTCTCTCTCTTAGGGTCACAATAAAGTTATATAACACATGCAAATTCACATATGTATTAAATACATACCATTAGTGACTTTTTCTATTTTTAGTTAAATTTTAATTTTAAAAAATATTGACTATTCAGTGAGTTAGTAACCTTTGTGTCATGGTGTTTTACAGTGGCACCTTGGAAAAAGGGTTATATTCTCTGTTAAAACATAGATTTTTAATGCTATCATCAAGTGTTGCTGGTGAAGAATGATAACTTATTTGATTCTAAGGTTAAGTTACAGATGTATAAATTAGATTACATGTGTTTTTTCTTTTTTGAATGACACAATAAGTTTTACAGAATGTAGAGTTATCTAGAGTTGAGTTTCTGAGACTCTACTATATATGTTAATTATATTTATTTTTGTTATAGGTATAAATATATACCTATATATACCTATAAGGATAGTAGGGGGCTTTGTACTCCTGCTCGTTAAAAAATTGTGATGATTTTTTTTTTATTTCCAGTACACCACTGTTTGTTACTTTCCCAGCTATGTCATATGTAACAGAAAGGAAAGAGGTGATTGGTCAAAAAATGACCGTGGAGGTGTTTTTTAAGGTTACCTGGGGGAAAACATCAATTTCAAATTTTTAACATTCTCTAAAATTTGTAAATCAGCTGTTTTTCATGCTTAACAATGTCCATAGAAAAATATTTGTTGAATTAAAAAATTTTTTTTATTAATTGAGGCATTATTTTATTCAAAATTATCTAAGCTCTATTCGTGTCTTGATCTTAAAAATTAGTTATAACTTCTGTTAAATTGTTTTCCCATTTACTTTTATTATTCTGTTATCATATATAGTCCTGTCTTGAAGAGCTAAGGGTTTTAAATTACTATGCAGATTCAGTCACGAGTTTGCAGAGATGGACCTTCATAGCCCTTATATAGATCTATTTTATAAATCTTTCAAAATAGCCTAATTTTATATATCTTAGACAATCTGTAAGATTTCGAAGCATTATACCTGACTTATCAGAACTCATTTTCCGAAAGGGATTATTATTCCCAATTAGCAGTTTATTTATTTAATATAAAATCACTTTCTCTTCTAATCTTGTATTTCCTAATTACTAAACATTTTTTCCTATGTAAGAAAAGTATGTCAACTTTAAATAATTAAAAGAAATTACTATTTTAAAATTAAGAAACCACAAATTATGAAATTTTAAATTATATTGTAGTTTATATTGTATACTGAAATTTTTAAAATGTTTTGAAATTAATAAAATTATTTCAAGCTTATAATTGAAAAAAACACAATAACATATACAATTTTTAGTAAGATTTCAACTTGAATTTTCATCTGTTCATTAAAAAGAATTGTTAAAATGTGTCTGAATAAGTTTTTAAAGATTTTAAAAAATAATTAACCTATCAAATTTATTAGTAATAAAATTTATTAATGATTGAAATGTTAGATCCTTTAATTATAGTGTAATAACAACAGACGTGCAAGATTTGCATCATGTATTATACTATAAACTTTGTTTTTGAAAGTCAAAATTTATGTTTGTATATGTCAATACAGAATATTTAATGGAAACTATGACTTTCAAACTTTATTCCTTAAAAATGAGTAGTTTTAAAGATATGATGTATAATTTTTTAACATAATTATTTAGCAATATATTTACTTTATAAAATAGTTCTATTATTTTGAATTTTAATATTTTTTTTAATGATTATTACAGGCTTATATTAATGCAGGGGCAATTATTCAAGAAGATATCAGTGAAGCTCCTTTGATCATTGGTGTTAAACAAGTTCCTATTGATACATTAATTCCTAACAAGACCTATGCATTTTTTTCACACACTATTAAAGCTCAGGAAGCAAATATGCCATTATTAGATGCCATTTTAGAAAGGGTAAAGTATTAAATTTTAATTATTTGATTACTATGATTTTAAAATGTATATTTTATACTTTAATGTTATATTTTTCTAATTATACATTTAAAAAAAGAACTTTTAGTAATAATTTAAACAAAATTAAAACTTTATTTTAATAAAAATAATTTTTTAAAATGTAAATGTGTTATTTTGATGTTAAATTTTAATGAAAATGAAAAACACTATTGCTAAATCATTTTACATAGTTTTTATGTCTCTAAATAAAGCCAAATGATTTCTGGATGAAATTGGGCTATTTTACTGCTACTATTAATAATTAAATTCTGAATAATTTGGCACTAGAAGTAGGTGTTACATGCCAGAAGGATTCTGGAATAATTCTGGAAGAAAAGAATTGGCCCAGAGAGGGACTCAAACCCACAACTTTTCTAAATTATTTAATAAATATTAATTATAATTATTAAATTTAATAAGAGATGGTGCCTAAATCCTAACTCTAGTGCTAAATTACTCTATGTTTAATTATTAATNGCAATCATTTTTGTTGTTTATAAACTTTTAATATCAAAAATATTTGATGCTTTGTCATTTATTTTCCAATTTAAGGATTTATTATGATCTAAAGAATTTCAATGAATAAATATTCAATTTTTTTATAAAAAATTATGTAACTTATGTTTCAGTTACATAAATAAAATCCAAGATGTTCAAATTTTATAAATTTTTGATGTTTTAAGTATTTATAACATTCAATTTTCAGAACATACGATTGATTGATTACGAGAAAATGGTTGACAATAGAGGACAGCGTGTTGTTGCATTTGGAATGTTTGCAGGTGTTGCAGGTTTTATTAACATCCTTCATGGTTTAGGGTTGAGGTTATTGGCATTAGGACATCACACTCCTTTCATGGTAAATTATATATTTAATTCTTAAATAATTTAATTTATAAAAATATTTTTAAAAATGTATTATTTTAAAATGAATTCAGCATATCGGTCCTGCCCATAATTATCGTAATAGTGGTATGGCCATCCAAGCAATACGTGATTGTGGCTACGAAATTGCCTTAGGAATGATGCCTCGTTCCATAGGACCTCTTACTTTTGTATTTACTGGAAGTGGAAATGTATCTCAGGTAATTATATTATTATTTTTTGAGTTTAGAATTTGATCCTAGTAAAAGTAATTTTGTTTAATATTTATTATGTTGATTACTTAGGGCTAAAAAAAAATTAGAATTTTTCTTTGTTAATGTCAAATGTTTTTGGACATGCCACTTTATTTTATTTGAATATGTTCAATTTCTTTTTTCAACACATATCGGAGATTGATTCTATTGTGAAATGAGTGATGTTATACATATATATATCATTTCTGCTCTCATGCCACATGCTTATAAACATTGGATCCTGAATGCATTAATACCTCGACTTACGCAAACCCGGAGTTATGCGATTTTCAAATCTCGTCGATTTGTCTTTTGTTTGAGCGCCATACAACTTTTGATTACTCACTCCCCCCACACTATTGTTCAGCTTACATGTTTCGACGTGTAGCGCAGAATCGACACATAGCTACAATTTATTTTGTGTTATTGTTATATCTACGGAGACTTGAGAGACTCTATATGGTGATTTCTTGTAACCGTGAATGAATCAAAAGACAAGATGAGATTAACAAGAACATTTATTAGCTTACATACATCTGACTTGGATTTTACACAAATTGAGAAATTATACCCCGACTTACGCAAATTCGACTTGCGTGGTTATCGCTCGGTCCCACCTATCGTGTAAGTTCGGGGTATTACTGTATACATTCTGTCTCTAGGATGCTTAGTTGTACAAGAGAATACCTGTTTATGATTTCATTTCATTGCTATTGTAATCATACAAAGACTAATTATTTTCACTTCTGAATTTAATGTTTACTGTTTATAAATTAACTAAAAATATCTTTTTGCTTTACTGATTATTTATCATTTTTATGCAGATAAACATGATTATTATAATAAAAAATTAATGATTTAATTCAAAATTTACAACATATTTAAGAAAAGCACCTCTAATTGTAAAATTCACTAATAAAACAGTTAATTATTCTTGAGTATTATTTATAAAGTATGAATTAAACAAAGAAACAACTTTAAAAAAACTTGATCACATTTCAGTTGTAATATAAACTTTTTTACTGTATAATAATTATACTTGAATCATGTTTACATGTATGATAGATTTCAATATTTTAATGAACAATAGTTTGAAAATTATGGTTAACAATTGTAAGGCAGCATTTTATCTATAAATGCTTCATCTTACAAATTATTGATAAGTTTCTGATTTTGAATTTGATATTAAAATAAATAAAACTAAAAGATAAATTAATAACTAAATTTATAATTTACTTTAAATTAGTTTAAATGATTAAGTTTAAAAGCAATATTTATTATATTTAAGAATATGATGGTATAAATGAAGAAAATTTTATTTCAAAACATTATACATGTGATTCAAATACATTAAATAAATTTTTTAGAACTTTTATAATTTTAGTTATATTAAAATTTCAGTACATTATCAAATCAAAATATAATAATAATTATTATTATTTTTTTTTTTTTTTGTATTTTTCTAAAGGGTGCTCAAGATATTTTTCAGGAATTGCCATACGAATATGTTAATCCAGCAGATTTACCTCAAGTAGCCGAACATGGGTGTAAGTTTTCTACTAATTTTTATTATATATATATTTATTTGATAAATTAGAAACATCAGTTTTAACTTTAACCAGCATTATACCCATCTCCATTCATTTGAAAGCAATTTTTGTTCTTAGTATATATATGAAGATGATAAAACAGAACATATTCTTTAATGTATGTCTACATAGATCAAAATATTAAAAACAATTTATGCCATAAAATGCAATCATTTTTGTTGTTTATAAACTTTTAATATCAAAAATATTTGATGCTTTGTCATTTATTTTCCAATTTAAGGATTTATTATGATCTAAAGAATTTCAATGAATAAATATTCAATTTTATACTGATAGATAATAGGATTCTATTAGATCAATAGTTTACAACAGTATTCAATATAAATAAACTCAATAGATCTTACACTAGTTTATTATAAAATATATTAATTTTATGGTTAATTATAGATGTACAGTTTCAGATATTTGATTGTCACATCTACATGAAAACTATTTTACAGTTAATGTAAAAACTAACAAATTCAAAACGAATTTGATTTTATAAATTGTTCAACAATTCAATATTGTTTCAATGGAGAAAAAGTATTACAAAAATTATCAATAAACAAGAATACAAAACTATTATAAATAAATAAGTAAATACTTCTGATCTTTAGAATATTTAGTTAGAGATAAATTATATATCTTAAAAAATTAAACAACTAACCATAAATTAAAAAAAAAATCAAAGTTTTTGTCACTTCTTTCCAAAATATTTGTGCCATTATCTTAATTTGAAAAGGTTATATTTTTATAAATGTAAGTTAAACCAGCTAATTTATATAATATTGATGGACTAACGAATGTATAATCTAAGAATATTTTATGATATGAATGTGAATAATATAAAATGTGCTGAGTATGCTGAAAGTATTAGACATATAGATCTAAATTTTACATAAATTTTATAATATATTCTAAATTATTTTACAGCAATGAGTAAAGTATATGGTGCAGTTGTCAGCAGAGATGACCATTTAGTTAGGAAAGAAGGTGGTAAATTCGATCCTGAAGAATATGAACAGTTTCCAGAACGTTACTATTCTAATTTTGCTAAAATGGTAGTAATATAATTTTGAGTTAGTTTCAGTTTTAATATTTCACTTTCTAATTTACATAAAATAATTACAGATTGCACCTTATGCTTCAGTGATTGTAAATGGAATTTACTGGGCAGTAAATTCTCCAAAATTATTGACAATACCAGATGCAAAATATTTGCTTCAGCCATCATACACTCCTTGGCTTGCAACGAGTAGTGGATCACCAGCTCTTCCTCATAGACTTCTAGCTATTTGCGATATAAGTGCAGATCCTGGTGGTTCGATTGAATTTATGACTGAATGCACGACAATAGATACACCATTTTGTTTATATGATGCCGATCAACATAAAAATAGTGAAAGGTTAATAAATTTAAATGTTTTAACACTAAAAGAATTGTCAAAATTGCTGTATTGCAAAGACTCTCAATTAATTTTGGTTTATAGTTTTGCAGGGCCTGGTGTTCTTGTTTGCTCAATTGATAATATGCCCACTCAACTTCCTAGGGAAGCTACAGATTGGTTTGGTAATTTGTTAATTCCGTATATGACTAACATTGTAAGTATTTTAAATTAATTATTCAATTAATAGATTTATAAAATATATAATTTAATTAATTTATTACTAACTGAATAAATTACTATAAATTGTATTATAAATGAAATTTGTATTGAAAAAAAATGTTTAAAGTTTTTCTTTAATCTGTGCAAATATTACATAGAAAAATTCTTATTTTCTAATTAATTGATGCTTTCCAATTGGAATTTCAGTAAGTAGTAGTATATAAATTTTAGAATGTCTGACAATTTTAGAATTTCTTATGGTTTATTATTTATTTTCTTCTTGAAATATTTTTATTTTAAACAAATCAATTTACGTTTTTTTTATTATAGCTTCAATCTGATGCAACTAAACCATTGGAAGAACACAATTTTGGTCCTGTTATACATAATGTATGTATATATATATATACAGGGTGTTTATAAATGAATGGTGCAGTTTTAAAAATTAATAATTCTATTTATTACCTATATATGGGCAAACCATACAGCATAAGCAGCGGCAACTGTCCAAGTTTTTTATGCATTAATCACAATCCTTCAATATACACATCTACATGGTAATCAAATTCTTCTCATATGCAATATTGCATGTCCTCCATGATGGTCTACAGTGCATGCTTTATCCGATCACACAGTTCCTCAAGGACACAGACAGTGAATGGTACATAAACTCAGTCTTTAACAAACCCCACAAAAAGAAATTGTAGGGTGTTAAATCTGGCAAACAGGGTGGCCAGGGGAGCAGGTTGTTGTCTGCTGTTGCACCACGTCCAATCCAGCATTGATAAAGAACATGATTAAGAAACTCGCATACATTCCTGTGAACTTGGACAGTTGCTGCTGCTTATGCTGTAAGGTTTGCCCATATAAGGTAATAAATAGATTTATTATTAATTTTTAAAACCGCACCATTCATTTATAAAAACCCTGTATTATAAATATATTAATTAATTTATTTTTTAGGCAATTATTGCAAGTAATGGGAGGCTTACACCAAATTTTGAATACATAACAGAATTGAGGAAGACTGCTAGGTAAATCCCTAATTATTGAATAAATAATTAAGTGTATAAACTAATATATAAATATATTAATTTAAATTATATTATGGGATGTTTCATTATTGTAATGTTTAACATATTTTTAACATTACAATAATAAAATATTTTTTTTTTGGTAAAAATCAATACTTTTGCATTTATGATTTAATATTTATTATACATATAATAATTACATTTTAGAATTTTAAATATTTCATTTAAAATTTTAAACAATTATAAGTAAATTATTGAATTGTTAATTGAATACAGATGATAATTCTAAAAGGATATGAAATGCTTAAAGTTTTCATCAGATAGATAAATACTGTGTTTACTCTAATAAACAACACAGCTGCAAAATGAAAAAAATTATCGACATCATCTAATAGTAAGTGTGCTTAATATTGGAGGAAGATAATTTATAATAAACTGAAAAATAGTACATTATATTCATTATTGTCACTCGTATGTTGAAATATGAGTGCTGAGTGTTCATTGTTTTTCAAATAATAACAATAAAGTGAAAAAGTTACTGGAATTACTCCATTTATAATTGTCCTTGAATAACAGTACAATATTTGATAAAAATATTGCACTGTTTTTCCCAAATTTTCTTTCCAAAATTAGCTCTGTACATTTTTATTATTGCTTTTTTTTAATCCTTTTAGAATTATCAGTCTAATACTTAATTTAATTTTTAATTTTCTCACATATATAATTTTCTTATATTTAAAACTTCTTCAGTTTTAAATGGTTTATTGAGATTTCCTACTTATTTGTAATTGTTACTCCTTGATAAATATTTTAGTTTTTAAATATGATAAGTTAGTTTATTTCCTGTTTATTACATCTCTAAAATTATATATATATATAAGCATAAATTTTTCATTTAATTTTTTTAAAAAAGAACTTATTATAACCTAATATTTAATTTCTTAAATTAGTAGTAAGGTCTTTTATTTCAGAATATGAAAACTCTCCAAGGATTAATTTTAATATAACCTCAATATATATGGTGAGCTAATACAAATTTTTCATTGTTCTTATAAGAGCAATGAATAAATAATTAAGTATTATTTCAAATATTTGAGAAATTTGGTTAAGAAAATAATTAATGTAAATTTGTGAATTAAAATATTTAAAATTCTCATCAAAATATCATCATAACTATTGCATCAATTTTAGAAAAGAAAAAAATGATGATAAATTTTAAATTTATCATCATTTAGGCAATATTATCATTATTAGGCAAGTAGCTTAAGTCATAGAAACGAACATGTTTAAAATCTTGTTCTCTTAGTGCAGTATGTTAAAATTAAATAGTTTTATAAACCTTAGGATTTCACATGAGATGTTTAAATGATATAAAATCTCGTGAATCAAAATTTGGAATTCGAATCGTCAGATTTTTTTATTTATTTTGTTGAAATGTATATATGGTTATATTGATATTTTGATGTTTTGAGTTAAATTTTAAGACGTTTGCTTCTAAATTATTACCTATTTTATTATTGAACAATTACTAACAGATTAACTGTGAGTGTAAGAATAAAAAATATAATGATTGCTTATTCAATATATGCAATAAATATTGTAAATATGCAAAAGATACAGATACAGTAATTATTTTATATTCAAATGGTTTCTATTTTGATTAATTCAATATTTATCTGCTCTAACTTTTATTCAAAGAGATAAATTTGTTACAATATTCCTTTCCGCAATATGAAATGCTTAAAGTTTTCATCAGATAGATAAATACTGTGTTTACTCTAATAAACAACACAGCTGCAAAATGAAAAAAATTATCGACATCATCTAATAGTAAGTGTGCTTAATATTGGAGGAAGATAATTTATAATAAACTGAAAAATAGTACATTATATTCATTATTGTCACTCGTATGTTGAAATATGAGTGCTGAGTGTTCATTGTTTTTCAAATAATAACAATAAAGTGAAAAAGTTACTGGATTTACTCCATTTATAGTTGTCCTTGAATAACAGTACAATATTTGATAAAAATATTGCACTGTTTTTCCCAAATTTTCTTTCCAAAATTAGCTCTGTACATTTTTATTATTGCTTTTTTTTAATCCTTTTAGAATTATCAGTCTAATACTTAATTTAATTTTTAATTTTCTCACATATATAATTTTCTTATATTTAAAACTTCTTCAGTTTTAAATGGTTTATTGAGATTTCCTACTTATTTGTAATTGTTACTCCTTGATAAATATTTTAGTTTTTAAATATGATAAGTTAGTTTATTTCCTGTTTATTACATCTCTAAAATTATATATATATATAAGCATAAATTTTTCATTTAATTTTTTTAAAAAAGAACTTATTATAACCTAATATTTAATTTCTTAAATTAGTAGTAAGGTCTTTTATTTCAGAATATGAAAACTCTCCAAGGATTAATTTTAATATAACCTCAATATATATGGTGAGCTAATACAAATTTTTCATTGTTCTTATAAGAGCAATGAATAAATAATTAAGTATTATTTCAAATATTTGAGAAATTTGGTTAAGAAAATAATTAATGTAAATTTGTGAATTAAAATATTTAAAATTCTCATCAAAATATCATCATAACTATTGCATCAATTTTAGAAAAGAAAAAAATGATGATAAATTTTAAATTTATCATCATTTAGGCAATATTATCATTATTAGGCAAGTAGCTTAAGTCATAGAAACGAACATGTTTAAAATCTTGTTCTCTTAGTGCAGTATGTTAAAATTAAATAGTTTTATAAACCTTAGGATTTCACATGAGATGTTTAAATGATATAAAATCTCGTGAATCAAAATTTGGAATTCGAATCGTCAGATTTTTTTATTTATTTTGTTGAAATGTATATATGGTTATATTGATATTTTGATGTTTTGAGTTAAATTTTAAGACGTTTGCTTCTAAATTATTACCTATTTTATTATTGAACAATTACTAACAGATTAACTGTGAGTGTAAGAATAAAAAATATAATGATTGCTTATTCAATATATGCAATAAATATTGTAAATATGCAAAAGATACCGATACAGTAATTATTTTATATTCAAATGGTTTCTATTTTGATTAATTCAATATTTATTTGCTCTAACTTTTATTCAAAGAGATAAATTTGTTACAATATTCCTTTCCGCAATATGAAATGCTTAAAATCATTTTCTTTGAAATTTTCTAATTTTTATGATAATTTATTTGCTATCCTTGCGGGCACTAAACATTTTGCATCGTGGATTCAGCCATGCTCACGATGGGGGCAACTATACAGACGTCCCTAAAAAATTCATGGTGTTTTTCAATTGCCTAGATTTGATCCATTGTCTCCTATATCAGTAGGCTGATGCCTTAACTATCTTGGCTATCAAACTTCATTGTTACTTAAAAGTTACAATGAGATTAGTTATAAGATGTCAAATGTTCTTTTAAAAACAAGTTAGCTAGCTTTACAGATAGGTTTTGCTTTAGGAAAAGAATATTGTAGTTATTTATTTGATTAAAAAATGTATCAATCATTATATTTTCAATATTTTAGTTTATTTATTTTATCAAATATTTATGTAGAATGAATGTAAATAAATGAAAAGTTTTGGAAACCTTTAATTATTCCATAAATAAATATAAAGAAGTCTAAACAAATCTTTAATTTTCCATATTATTAAAAATAATTTAACAATTACAACTAATTCAGGACAGTTTATTAAAACTTTTTTTATATGTATTATATCTTGCTTACTTTAGTTGCAATGTTTTCCATATGATAATATTGAATAATAGATCTTGAAACCAAATTGTTACTTCATTTTACAAATGTTAGAGAGATATTTCTATATGTGAACCCTTTTATATTATAGTATCAGTGGACGTAGCTTATCCTTTAAATGTCAATAACATACAGTAGTATTAACTCTCGTATTACAGAATGCTTGTATTGTTTATAGATTGTATATAAAATGTGTATTTCATTGTTGTGTTGCATTATATAAGTTTTTAACACACAAAATGTACATTATTAACATGGATGAATTTTAAAATACATAGACTTCTGCATAGAATTTAACTTAACGCTTAAAGATTTGTTTTATCTCATTTTAACTTAAATATCAGTTTTGTGTGTGAAGTTTACACATTTTTTTGAGTAATTGTATCATTTAATCATAACTAAAATCATGAACATTTTAAGATTTTTTTCATTTATTTGCTGTGTTCTTATAATTATTAAGTTCCTTGTTCCTTATTAAATTTATAAACTGGTCATTCATAACTATATATATTTATTACTTTGCATGATTTTTATTTCATCTTTGTTTTTTGAAATATTATATACTTTTATCTGAAACTTTATAATACTGATTGTCTTTCACATATCTTTCCTAACTTTTATGCTTTACTTTCCTTTCATGGATTCATGGATGTTATGAAGAGCAGGGTAAATACATTATTATCTTTAATATTTTATAATGTTTGCATGTTTATCAAGAAAATTATACAGGATATATCAAATTAATTTTATTTATCTGAAGTACTTTAATTTTAGAAATAATTGAATAACTCATAAAATTGTTAATAGTAATCTTGAAAATATTAAAATTCATCTGCAATTTTTTCAAATTTATGTCTTTGTAAAAATCATAATGTCTGTTGGACGAGAGATTGCCAATGCCTTTTTTTTTTATCCCGAAAAATTTTACTTTTTATGATTTAGATTAACTCTGATCAAATAATATCAAATCAGTAGTGGGTTAAGAACTTCTGGGGTCCCTAGGCACAGAAGGTTGCAAACTCATCCACATAATTTTAGTGTTATAAACTAATAATATCTAATCACAACTGTAGAATTATTTATAAATCATAATAGAAATTTTACATGTCCCTGAGACCCAGAACCCCTAGCACGTGCCTCACATTATTAATTGATAATACAGTATGTGACAAATGATTAGACAAAGTTCACTTGTCTGGAGTGGACTTGGAAATGCCGCGAGTCGGTCGTACTCATTTTGCCCTACAGTGTCAACAGAGACAATTATTTGTGAATTTCAGTACTTCAGATCAAGGATATATTTTGCATTATATTATAATTAAGTTATTTTAATAAATTTTAAAATAAATTTCAATTTTTATGATTGGAAAAATACATATTTCAATTAAACAATCTGCTTTGATTTTAATTTATTTAATTCAAATTTTTAACATCCCTATTGTAGAAAACCACGCTATTTATTAATTCTTCTGAAGACTTGATGTAACGACTTTATTCTACGATATGCATTCTTCTTCGGTCATCCTTTTAAAGTTCTGTTGCACATATTCTGTTCTGAATATAAATTTTGTTAAGTGAAAAAGGATATGTACAATAGACTTTATTAAGGTGAATGAAGAGCTTAAAACACTCAAAATGAATGTTGTTGCATCAAGGTTTTCCTAGAAGAATAAATAAATAAATACGTTTTTAATAGTTAAATAAGTTTGTCAAACTTTTCTTCCTACCGTTAATTGAATGTTTTGTTTGTTCAAATTTTATTCCAGCTTGTCATTTGTATTTCCTAATTTTTAGGATTTAGTACTTTTCTTTATACAGAAATTTTTTTTCAGCTTTTCTATGTATTGTCATATGTTTATTCTCTTAGCAAAGAGTATTCATTTTGAAATCATTTATAAATTCATGACACATTTAATTTTTTCAATATAGAATATAATAGTATATCTTGTATGCATTTTAAAATAATAATACAACTATTCAAAAATTTCATTTTCAGTTTCTTCTTGCTAGAATCTTATCATACCTTAACCATACTTTCATACAGAATGTAAATAAGAACAAGGAATTATTTATTGTGATGTCGTCATGATGCCAACTTGCAATTTTAAATTAAATAAATTAAAAATATATTCTCTCCACCTCAAATTAGTAGTGACTTACCCCTGTATATCATACTTTTCCTTTAACAATAGTCATGTCGGTCATCTATCTAACACGTTTCAGAGGAAAATTTTTGAATTGAAATAATGTGACTTCCGGTTTGCATCGGAAGTTCGTATATAGTTAATGGTGTTGATGGTCAAGTCAATAATGGCCAAAAATTTGCAGTTGATCTTATATGAAATCTCTAATCTTAAAAAAATATTATTAATAGTTCTCATATTAATTGGTTTTTTGTAATCTTTACATCAGAATGTAACTTCTGTTACAATGTTTAAACATAGTACAATTTTTAAAACTTATTTACATATATTTTTCTCAACGTTATTGAAACTTTTTAGTTTATATTTGAAATCTAGACCTGTTTATTAAATGTATTTTGTAAGTTTTAGCTTGTGGAGATGAAACTGTTACTTCAGTAAAATTACATAACTTAAATTTATTATTTTGTGCTTTCTATAACACTCTTTGTAGATTAATTTACAAGTGCCATAACTTTCTTTTAGATCTCAAAAAAAAGCACAGTCGGCAGCCGCCGAACGAATTAAAAAAGTATTAGTACTCGGTGCAGGTTACGTATCCGGTCCTCTAGTGGAATATTTAACCAGAGATAGGACCATTCACGTCACAGTGGGTAAGTCTGAATTTTATCATTTTTATTGCATTCAATTTTTTATACTAATATTTTTTGTATCTGTATTTCAGCTTCCGCTTTACAAAACCAAAGCGAGGCACTCGTACAAAGAAAAGAAAATACGGAGTCCGTCGTCCTGGACGTAACAAAAGGTCTCGAAACTTTAGAAGATTTAATTCAAGACGCAACTCTAGTCGTCAGGTAACATACATAATCTTACTCTGATTGTCGATTTTTATATTGCACTTACAGTTTTGAAAGTTGCCCGAAAATGTATAAAGTTTTCATATTTTTAATAGTAAGAAAAAAAGTATTATTAAAATTTAATAAAAGATTATAAAAAATGAGCAAAAGTTCAGAAGTGATTGATCGACTTTCTATTTCACAGCCTTGATCATGAAACATCTACTTTACCAAATCAACAGATACACAGCAAAAACTTTTGGTGAGCAAGGCATGGATGGAATAAGACCAAACTCTTCATAAATTCAATTTTTATTGAATTTATGATGATTTTAGTTCTATGTAATTTTATTAAATATCAGTTTAAGAAACAAAAATGTTCAATGGTTAGTTAGAATGTGTACTACTAAATGCATGATTTGTTCTTTTGCCTTGTACATCCCAAGTTCTAGCTTGTGCGTATGACGAATGCTACTGTTAACCCTTTCATTGTGACGTGATTATTGCTTTATCTTTTTTGCCATTTGCAAACACTTTATTCATTTGGCAATTATACATTAATGCATTTAAATCAGAAAATAAATCTGAATCTAGAATTGCATAGTCTAACTTGCTGGCATCTACTTCGGCTTTTTATGAATTGTTTTGAATTTCTGATTTTGTAGTTAAAATAGAAGTAAACGTAAAATTGATTTTCATCTCAGGATAAATAAGATGTTTATATATCCACGTGCATATATTTATTTTGTCTCCGAACTTACAGCTGAAATGATTTTTACGTACATGCATTCAGTATAGTCCCAGGTTAGACTACTACCTATTTCTAAAATCATTAGTAGGATTACGATATTGTTTTCAAGTGTAAATGGTCGACACCTGATTCTTATCGGGTCTTTGCACAAATGGGAACTTCTATCCAGAGGATGGTAATGTGATGGGAACCACAGAATTTGAAAACAGTAGGCAAAAGTGGATGTTGGTGAAAGCCGATCAAATGAAATTCGATCGGTTGGCCTGTTGTTTTAGCAAAATTATGCATCAGTGAATGTATGACCATTGCCATTTTTACCTGTTGGTGAGTCTTTGGAATTTTTTTGTATATAAAATTGTTGTTGTTGGATTACACTGCATTCTGTTTTTAGTTTATTATATCTTCATTTCTGCACTGAATTTTAAAGACTCGTTCCCTAGTTTTGCACAAGTCTTTTGATATATAAGTAATTTTAATTCTACAGGTATTTGGTATTGTCTATAATTATATTTTATGGGAAAATCAGAATGATCGTATTTTGAGTCAATGACATCTTGCATTAAATTTGTTGATGATGGATGTAAATTTTTAAAAAATTTATATTGGATAATTCAAGTTTTTTTACAGATTTTTATTCATTCTAAACAATAGCATTCTCTGTATTAAGAAAGTCTTATATTGTGAAACTAAAACTAAAAATTAGATGTAGAATAGAATTTATGACAGTGAATATTTTCTGAATGTATGTATAATTAGTCTACTTGTTATCTGCTGACTAGTGATGACTCTCCAGAAAAACTACAGATTTATTAAATTATTTAAGTCAAATACAACTAGTACTAATTTTATTTACATTACAAGGAATTCACACAATATACATCTAGTTTACAATTTAGCATTACCATTATACAATTAGAGAACAGGAAGCTAGAGAAAGAAGTGGAGTTTGAGATCAACCCTTGGAGGTGCCACTGTCTTCAAGTAGACAGGTAATGCTTTCTGTCTATTAGAAATGTATCGGGTATACCTGTTGTGACTTTCTCATGACATGTGGCCATTCTTTGAGAAGGGGAAGCTCTTTCTACTTCCTCAACCTCTATCAAGCTTGATGCTCTTGTATGTTATTGATATTAGTGATGACCTTTTCCCACAAACTTTCCAAACCAGATCACTTCCTACTATCTTCTCTCACTATTTAACTTTTGTGACCCAACCAAGGGTCAGAAAGCCCACTGCAAGACAGAGAGCTTTGATTGTGTTTAAGTTACCGGGCAGATGCAAAACAAAGATGCCGATGAACCCATTCTCCTCTATACTTGGAAGGATTTATATTGTTTACCCCTTTGTTGCCCTCTAATAAATCTTTTAAGCCATTCTTTATTTCCATCTTAGGCTTCATTCAGTTTAGCCGATTTTGGTCTTTTAAGTTTTTCAAAATTAGACGAATTGTTATGATAACAATGGCCTGGAGATTAAGACATCAACTTACCATTCTGAAGACACAAGATCAAATCCAGATGAGCAACCCCAAGATTTTTCGTCCATCCTTACCATCCAGTTTCTCTCATTGTGGGCATGGAAAGAAAAAAACCCTCTTAGTACCCACAAGGCAAGGAGAGGGGGGAATTATTTTAAAGTTTCATTTCTCCCCTAAAACAATAAAAATATTATTCTAGACTAGAGAAACAAATATATACTTATATAAATTGTTCGTTCAGTATTAGATCAATAGTTTACAACAGTATTCAATATAAATAAACTCAATAGATCTTACACTAGTTTATTATAAAATATATTAATTTTATGGTTAATTATAGATGTACAGTTTCAGATATTTGATTGTCACATCTACATGAAAACTATTTTACAGTTAATGTAAAAACTAACAAATTCAAAAACGAATTTGATTTTATAAATTGTTCAACAATTCAATATTGTTTCAATGGAGAAAAAGTATTACAAAAATTATCAATAAACAAGAATACAAAACTATTATAAATAAATAAGTAAATACTTCTGATCTTTAGAATATTTAGTTAGAGATAAATTATATATCTTAAAAAATTAAACAACTAACCATAAATTAAAAAAAAAATCAAGTTTTTGTCACTTCTTTCCAAAATATTTGTGCCATTATCTTAATTTGAAAAGGTTATATTTNTTCGGTTATCGTTACCAAACTTTTACTAATGAAATCTGTGGAGAAATTTTTTGGGTTCTTCGTTTTCAGAATCACTATTTCCCAGTTCTACATAAATTCCTTGTTCTGCCAGTTCTTGAAGGTCGTCGTTGGTAAGGCTCTTACTAGAAACCTGCAGTAACTCCTCAATATCCTGCTCGTCTACATCTCCTAGTGCTGGTGTATTGATTAAGTTGATAATTTGGTCAACCTAATGATACAGTGATAGGCTCTTCTAGTTGACAATTCTTGAATACCTCCGCCATAACTTCTTCCACACTTTGTTCATTTGTTCATGCATTTATCAGTTAATTCTTGCCAAGCGAAGTCAATATTGTCTTTGGCATCCATGATGTTATATTTTTTTCCAAAATTAACAAACATAGATTTAAGAAAAGTACAGCGCTACAATGAATTGACACCTTTTGCTGATTGGTTCATGTTTGGGAATAATCAATGAAATGCCGCAAAAATTTGAATAAGCATAAATTTTGAGCTTATTTTTAAACTTTGAGCAGACCGCATTATATCGAATCAGCGTTAATCAAGGCAGTGTTAATTGGGGTCTTACTGTATTTCCAGTTTCATAATAATAAGATTTACATGAATTTGAAATAAATTTTTACACAAATTCCTTTATCTTTTTATATATAATTTTGAATCTCCAAAATTTTAACATGCATCAATTGTCTCTTAAATATGCATAGTTTAGCCTACATTCCCAGAAAGATTTATCATTCCTATTCCAAAAACAATTGTATAGTTTCAAGATAAAATTGAAATATTTACAAAAATAGATTCCAAAAACCTAAATTTCCCAACTGCATTTATATTAGTAACCATTTCTTAGTAACGTAAGTATTAATGTGATAATACAGTCTTGTCATATAGTTTAGTAGTAGTAGTAGTTTGTTGTTGTAGTAGTATGTATACAGATTATGTAATAACTGCCAATTCTATTAATTTAATTATAAAATTGCATTAAAATGAATGGTTTTGCTCAAGGATGTTAAAAGTTTGATTGAAGTAAAGTAGCCTGATCGATCTTTGTTGAATATTCTAAGGAGAAAAAAAAAAATCTCTTACCATTTTAAAAATGAAGAATACAATTCATTCGATACTTTAAAATTTTTAAAATAAAATACAATAAAGATTGATCAAATTAATCATAGTATTAAATGCAGTAAAAAATTAATGCATACACAACTTAAATTTAATGACTCATTCTACAAAGTTATGTTTCTATATTATTTTTTTAAATAGAGAATTCGTAAAATAATTTATTATTTAATTTTAGTCTCTTACCTTACTCCCTACATCCAATGATTGCCGAATATTGCATAAAACACAAGACTAATATGGTGACAGCTAGTTACTTGACAGCCGAAATGAAGCAATTACAGAACGAGTGAGTAAAATCTCTTGAGAGTTTAAAAACAAAATAAAAATTTTGTGTTAACATCCTCAAAATTTAAGAGCCGAAAATGCGGGAATAACTGTCGTAAATGAAGTTGGTTTGGATCCCGGTATAGATCACCTGTTAGCCATGGAATGTTTCGACGAAGTTCATTTAAATGGTGGAAAGGTAAAATTTTGATGATAATTTTAGAATATTCATAAATGGTATGTGTGATTAGACTTTATTTTTTATTTGTCGGAAGTTGTTTGATAAATACACCTAAACACATGTATGGTGCATACTGAATATTGATAAGTAAGGTTTCTAGTTATAGCATTCCATGAAATGCAGGGAAGGAAAACTAAAAACTGCCAACACTTAGTATCCTAGTCTGTGTATGCATGGTCTTGGTTCATTTTGTTGCATCATTGCATAGTAATCAAATTTAAACCTGAACTCTTCTGCCAGATCACTGCTTTATATAGAATCAGAAAACCAGAGAAAGTTCAATTTTGTAAAGAACTCAGAATGTTAGACGACCAGACGCTGTAGAGACTCAGGGCAAGCAACTCCTGGGAACCTTTTGCGGACAGTGTCCTGGATACATTGGACCACAACCCTTGCCATCCGACCACTCCCGCTGTAAGTCTGGCCAAATCCACGACAGATAGGTAAAAAAGGCCTTCTCGGTACCCGTAAGCCAGAGACATTAATTAAACATCTATGGCCCAGATTTCTGATTATATATGTAAAGGTGGTGTCGAAAGATTGGCATTCGAGCTGCCAGGTGGGAATGAACGAAAGAAAAACCAGAAACTTTTTCATGTAGAGCACGGGTTCCCAACCTATGGGTCGCGACGGGCTTTCTGTGGGGTCGCCAACTTATACAGTTAACTAAAAAAAAAATGTTCACTATAATGCAATTTTTATTTTTAATGGTGTCTTGAAGTTTGAATAATTTGATATACAGTCGACCCCCCTATAGTTCGGATTCCTATATGACGGCGAAAAAATTGTGATGGTATCAGTACAAACATGGTAAAAAAACTCCTATAATTCGGTAAAACGTCATCAGGCAGCCAAACTACTTTCTGCCATCCAGCGCCACGCTCTGGAGAGTTTAGGCGGGTAAATTGAGTTTACTATCGTCTGTACAGTATTATATATAAATTAAGTTAATATATAATTATATATACAGTACCTAATTTATTGTAACTTTATTATAATTATATATATACTTTCCGCCGTCCAGCGCCACACTATGGAGAGTTTAGGCGAGTAAGTTGAGTTTACTATCGTCTGTACAGTATGTAAATTAGGTACTGTAAGTCTAATACAGCACTAATTTTATACATTTCTTGTGAAAGAAACATTTCTTATTCAACGGCCATAAAAATTATTTATATTAATGATGTCTCCAAAGTTCAACGAAGTTTTCGCAGAAAAATAATTTATCAGAAATCGCGGCCGCCGTTTGGTGCGCTGCTCTGCCACGAAAGCGAGCGTAAGCAACGGCGTAGTCGAACGATGCACACTCGGTAAGTAATCCTACAATTTTTTGTTT